GGGCTGCAGATTGCTCGGGGGCGATTCTGACTGGCGCATGCAGCGAGGAAGTGGGGATATCTGCGCGCTCTTTTCAGGCTCGCGCGGCGCGCCGCCCCATCGAGAAGGCCGCGGTGCCTAGAAATGCTCTGACCTTGCCCGACCACCTTCTATTCGGATGCTTTCGGAGCCAGCAGGGGCTTCCAAGCTCGTGCGATTTGGCGACCGCTCACAGCGGCGAATCAGACGTGCGCCCGCGTGTTTCACGAATTCATGTACAGGTGCGCCCTTGGATGTCCTTCGTTCAACTCCAGTACATTTTAGGTTTCGCACGGCAGAATATTGGCCCTTGTGGGCCGACTGCATTGGGGCGCCGCGACGCGCTTGGATGGGTGGGCTCCAATATTTCGCAAGACTCACCACTACGGCGCCCCCTTTCCCTGCGCATTCTGCTCGGTGGTCGTGTTTTGTCTAGAAGTGGTTGGGGCTTCATTCTCGCGGACAGCTTGGATTGGATTTGTAAGTTTGTGGGGCGTGGGGAGGTCCCAGGACGTGGCGCCTTAGACGATTGGGTGGGTGCTGCTTTTTGCCCCCCCCCCCCCCCCCCCCCCCCCCCCCCCCCCCCCCCTGTTTTCGACCTCTCCTGCTGGCTGCAGTCGCGAAATCCAGAACGTGGCGTTCAGACCGACGCCGGCGCATCGCGCGGGGGGGGCGGGTCAAGCAGGCGGTCGAGGGCACAGTCGTGCAGGGGCCAAGTGCGGAGCCCGAGCGCAGGCGCACACGCTGCTGTCGCGGTCAAATTCTCGTCTCGCCCAGGCATTTGAAGTCGCATCGAGGGAAGACCCATCCTCAGAAGCATGCGCCCGCATGTACGGCGGTCGGCGCGGAGCGCGGCATTTTTCGGTCGGATTTCAGGCCCCGCTATTCCGACGAGGAAGCGCTGGGGGCCCGCGAGGCAAGGCGCTTGCATCAAAAAGAAAACCGCGGCAAGGGCGTTGCAGATGATTATGCGCGTCTGCCTCCCGGACGGGTGTTTGGGCCTCCTGTGGGGCTGAGAGTTGCGGGCGGGGGCTTTGTGACCTCGGGGCCCCTGGCGCCCGCTGCCCCCCCCCCCCTCCGCCGCCCCTTGTGAACTTCTGCCTTGCTCCTCGCCTGTTCAGGATATCGCTTTGCTTCTCATTTGTTATCTGGCCAGAGATGGGAGGGGCATCGGCAGTTCTAGACTGGGACAATGGTCGAGCAGCCCCCCCCCATCGGTGGCCCTCTCTGCGGATGTCGCCCACCCCCCCTCCATCAGTGATCCCGCCAATCCAGGCGCGGTCACGTTCTGGCAAGGCCTTATGGCCGAGGGGTGGGTTGCCGCTGCGATCGCGGTGCCCCCGCGTGAAACGCGGGGTGCTGCTCGCAGCGATCAGATAGGGGATGGGGGGGGGCTCTGCCCTAGATCACTGCGCTCTGTTGATGAACCATGGCTATTGGCGTTTATATCCCCATCGAGAAAGGGCGCTCGTGGGCACGGGGAATGGTCTGTTGAGAACCGCTATAGAGTTTCTGATCTCTGCTTGGAAATTTGGGCCCCCGGCGATCGCGGAGCACCCTGCCGAGGCTGAGCGCAGAAAGAGTGCCCCGTCCAGCCGGCAGCCCCCAATATTCAGGAAATTGCGCGGGCAGCCCGGTGTTGTGGTTTTGCGCAGGAGTAAGTTGTTTTCGGGCAGGCTGCTAAGAAGCCCACGGGATTCCTTGCGGTTCACAATCCGGCCATGGGACGCATTATAGGGGGCTGCCAGATAGGGGGGTGACGTCAGCACAGCGTCCATGCAAGCGTCCTAAAGGGGAGGCTATCACCAGGTGAATGGCGTGCAGCGCGTGCCAAAACGTACCCCCTGTGTTTTGCAGGTCTCTGGCTGGGTAATTGTTCGAGGGCGTTTCCAAACTGTCTGGCTCGCCATCTGAGCCCCCGAGGGACCTTGCCGAGGGCCCTTGCCGCGGGAGGGATTGTCCAAGGGCGTCGCCATCTTAATTTGCTTGCAGGTGGTGCGCGCGGCACCTTAGACTCTCGCTGTGCCGTTTGGGCAGGGCCCGTGAGCCGCCTTGTCTCTGTTGCGCCCCTCAAGGGTGTGCGCAGCACCTACTCTTGCCGAAACTTGAGGGCGCGTTCTATATTGTCAGTGTGCGCGGCAGGTTACTTCGCAGTGGCACAGGCAAGGGGGCATCACTTTCCTTGAATGTTTGCATGTGAAATACATGTGCGAAGGAGACAGTGCAGTTGACTACTTCCCCCCCGCACCTAAGGCCATTATCTAAGTTCGGTCCCCGCGTAGTGCTCCTAAGAGAGACCCCGGCTGACCTGACCGCCCCCCGCTTGGGCCTGATGGCGGTCGTATCGCTCCGAACGCGCCGCCCCCATAACTGGGCCCTATCGCGGAGGGCTTGGGCCTTGCGCGGGGGCGGGGTGCGGGGCGTTGAGTTGCGCGCGGAGGGCGCGCCGCCCCCGCGACCGCTGCTTTTCTTTTCCTTATATCTCGGTGCTGCTTTCTGCTCTGGTTGCCCGGGGCCCAGACTCGGCCCCCAAGGCCGCGGGCGAAATGGCGAGCCCGGGGGGGGGGGGGGGCGGGGTGGCGTAGCCATGTTGGCCCGAGTCCGCAGCGGTGGTTCAGGGGCGGCGAGTTTTTGCGGCGTTGGGGATTTCGCGGCCCCAACTTCGCCCAGCTGTCTGCATGCGCGCGCCGCGCGGGTTGCCCGCCCGTCGCCGCCGCGTCCTTTTCTTTCTCAGCGCGACAAGCTCATGGCGCCAAGCCCTTCTTCTGTTGTGGGCAGGGGCGCGCCTGGCTTTTCCTCGCGGGGCGTCCGCCATGGCGGTGGGGCGGAAGCTATGAGGGTGCCAGCGCGTCCAAGGTCACTTGCCCATCGTGTGGATGCAGAAGGAGTCTCAAACATTTTTCGCGGCGCAAGCGTTACCGCGCCCCGCTCGAGACCGCGCGAGTTGCGTCGCGCCCGCCGGCTGCGTGGATCTGGCCCTTCGACGCGGGCGCAGGCGGCAAAGCGGGCATGTTCTTTGCGAAGGGGGGCGGCCCAGTGCCGCCCCCCGCGGGGGCAGTGCCCAAACTCGGCATCGAGGGGGCCAAGCAGTTAGTTGCCTTGCTTGCGCAGCAAAACAGGGGAAGGAGGTTTGGCTCATAAACATTCGCAGCTGGCTCTTTCTCTCGAACGCGCTGAAGGACATGCCGAAGTTCTCCTCAGCAGAAGGCTCAGCAGGGCCATGCCCGTGTTCGGATGGTCGAGGAGAATCTTGAGAACGAGTTCGCTGCGCTGTCTAAGCGGCGACAGGAGTTCGAATATCAGTGGCAAAAGGTCGAGGATCTCAATGCAGAGCTCAGCAGGGCGGACTCGGCGTGCAAGCGGGTAATGCTGGAATCTCAGGAGAGTGCGCTCCCGCCCCTCCTTCGAGCGCGGCGCCGCCTGGGGTGTCTTTCATGTATCTTCGCGCGGGCACTCTTGCGCTTGATCATCGAGGGCCACCGCGATGATTGCAGGCGCAAGTCGGAAGATTGGGGGCATATTCAGTCCAGGAAGGATGACTTGTTTGGGAATGAGCGCGAGGTGACCAAAGATTTCCTCGCCGATGCGATCAAGAAGTTCGAGGGGGCCAAGTCCGCGCGCGCCGCCCGCCTCGCCGGGCCCCAGAGGAAAAGGAAACAGCGACGCGCAAGGGAAGATGGATCAGCAGTTCTTGCGGCGCCGGCTGAGCAGACGGCCGCAGCGCCTGAGGCGGCGCATTCGGGCGCTGACTCGGGCGCAGGGGCTGGCGCGAGGCGTGGCCAGGCAGGCGCCGCTGGAGATGGGCCTGGCGCCCGTGCTTCGGTTGCCGCCGAATTGTCTTCAAATCAGCCCCCCCCTCTGGCGAACGGGGGGCAAGGCGCGGTGCTTTTCCTGTTGGGGCGGAGAGGGCCTGGTCTGGAGAGGTCAGGGCCGTCGCCGAGTTAGACGCTGGCAATGTCGAAATTTCATCGAGTATGAAGTCGCCCCGGGGGGGCGGGGGGGAGGCCTTGGGGCGCGCTGGAGTTCGGATGCGAGTAGGAGGCTGAAGCGGGAGCGCGGGGGCCTTCTTGGGTCAGGCGCATGTGAATTTCCAGAAGTACCCTTATGACAGGGCCCCTGCCCCAGTCTCCCCCTTCCGCCAGTGGCAACTCGGTCTAGGGCTCCGGGGGGCATCTCGGGGGGGACCTCGTCGTTGGCCTTAGAGGCGTGGGCCGTCACTTGCAATGTCTGGGGTGCTATGACGGATGAATTGGAAGACCCGTCTACTTCGGCTCACGTGATGTTGCGTCAGGAACATGGGCGTGTTGGGGCGGAGGAGATGTCTCGGGCTTCTGCATGTGTCTTACGTCTGGGATGGAAATCCTTACGGATGATGGCAATTCCAGGCCCACAAGGAGGTGGCAGCTGTGGAATTGCTGCGTTTGCCAGATCGTGGTTGTGATTGCACGAGGTTGAAAGGCTACACAGGGGAAGCGGGGCGCGGCTTGATCTGCAAGGTTCATCCGCCTGAGTCGCCAGCGTTTCACTTATGATCGGCCTACCTGCAGCACAGTGCGGGCCTGGGCCAGCGCAACGGGAAGCCGTTGCGAGACGTGAGTGCGTTTCTGAGCACTCAACCGAAAGAGTTCATCATCGGGGGGGGGCTCAACTTCGCCAAGAGGTTTTGGGAGGCATCGGGTTTGCGAAGCAGGTGGGGTGACGCATGGTCTGGATGATGAAGGAAAACACGCGTTTCCCGGTGTTGGAGGTGCTTCGAGGTTTTATTGTTCCGTTGTTCCCGGGCGCGTGGCGAAGGGTCTCGCGAGCGCGTCAGTGGAACAGGTCGCCAGGTTGAACCCTCGCAGGCCTCTGTTCTTGAACCACCCCCAGCTCTTTCATTTCAAGTTTTCGGCCTTCCGCCGACCTTCCTCTTCCCACTGGCCGCCTTTCGGTCCTCGACGCGAGGAGGGTAGCAATCGCGGCCGATCACGCTCACAGAGGCGATGGAGATGGCGGCGGAGCTGTTGACTGAGGGTTATGAGCTGTGGGCCAACAGGGCCGAGTTAGATCTTCGTGAGATTCTGGGGGTTGAAATCCCTGCGGTCGTGTCCAGGGGCGAAGTTGCGACTGCGTTTTGGGCGTCGGCGTTTAAAGGCGCCCCCCCAAACAAAAATGGCCCTCTCTCCAAGGGGCTTAAGTGGCTGGGCGCGCAGCCTAGGGCTCTGAAGGCGGAGTTCGGCGATGGGGGGCCCGAGCCAGATGCGGCGCTGGCCGGCGCATCTCGCCTTCCTGCGTATGCGCGGGCTGCAGCTGCCGTTGCGTGTGTGTGTATATATATATGTATACGCGATCTAGCCAGCAAGTTCCCCAGCTTGGTGCAGGGGAATGTTCGGGGAACTGTTCTCATCCCCGCGCGGAGCTTTAGTTGCAATCGAAGATGCGCGTCAGAACGCAGACCGGTCTGCCGCCTCAGGTTGACGGATCTCTCCTACAGGTGCATGGCCTGCCCCTGAGGACCTGCAGCCTGAGCTCGAGGCGGCTCGACAGGCCTTCGCCAGAGCTAAGTGTTTTTTTGTTTCTTCTTTTTTTTCTCTTTTCGGGGGGGCTGAAGGAGGGTTTGGACATCGGAAGGGGAGGGGGGGGGTTCAGTTTTGGCTTTGGAATCTGATTCTTTGGACCCCCCGCCGCGACGCGTTCGGCTTTTGGAGACGTCAGGGCGGATCCGTGCGCCTCGTTGAGAGCCGAAGGCAAGCGTTTACAGTCGTGGGGGGGAGAAGGAGAAGGACCGCCTCGTGGCCTTGTGCGCATAGTCTCTCCTCTCATCGCCCCTCCCCATCGGAGCTGAAACAGCTCGGCAAAGCGCGTCGACGAGGTTGCACTGTCCTTGTTGATGATGGTGTCCACATGCGTCATTTTAGCTCGTTGTCTGACCTGGCCTTGGAAGCCCCTGCGGGGCTGTTCGTGATCATGGAAGCCACTGGGGGGCTGCCTGAACAGATGATGATTGTTTTTTTTGCCCTCCTGCCTAAGCCCACTGGGGGATTCCGCCCCGGTGGGGTCTGCGCGTCGCGGTGCCGTCTGCGGGGCAGGGCTAGACGCCCCGTGGTCTGGCTTGGGAAAAGAAGTCTGCCGGGCACGATTAGGCTGCGAGGGCCAGACGCGGGGCGGCCGACGTTGTTTGGAGGCAGATCTTTCGTGTTGAAGCAGAGATTTCCAGAGGTCTGCCGTCGGGGTCGGCGTTTTCTGACCTGCTGGAATATTGCAAGAGCATATCTCTGAGTTGCCTCGAGAAACAGCGTAGGAAGTGATATATCCCCGAGGCGGCCTTTCGGGTCCCTGTGACGGCCTACAAGTCTTGTTGTTTTCTCGGTCTTGGAGGCATCTTCGAGGGTCCGTTTTGGGTCGTCTCGGGCGCGGTGGCGGGGTGCTCCATGGCCGCCGCCTACACCCGCGTCTTCGCCCTGCATTCCTTGGACCGCGCCGCCTTGAAGTTGGGGGCTGACTTCGACGCCCGCGTGGATGACACTTGTTGATCACGCGCAGGTGCTGCGACAGAAGTTGCGGATGCTCTGCTCGCTGCGTCGGTGAGCTTGCGTCGAGGAGGTACTGTTGAAGTTGACTGCACCTTAGTCCTCGACAAAGTGGGTGCGTTTGCAGCCATAGAGCTTCGGCCGGTCAACTAGAAGGGAGACTTTGGGAACCACCTTCGTCTGTCGCCAACCTCGGCATTGACTGCGCGGCCTTCTGGTCGGCGCGCACTACCGCTCCAGGCTTAAAGAGAGGGGAATGGTCAAACGTAAGGTTTGGCAAGCGATATTTGTTCCGGAAATGCAATAGGTTCAACATGCACCCTTCGGTCTGGGGGGAATCTGCGGTTCAGATATTTGATTCAGGCCCGGTGGCGGGCGTCGCGCACGGGCGCGAAATTTTCGGGGTATCCGACGCTGACCCCGCAGCTTCCGAAACAAAGTCACGTCGACTGTTTCGCCCAAGTCTCAGCATAGGTCTCCGATTATTTTCTCGCCGCTAGAAGGTGATCTTCCGCGGCGGGCCAGCGTTGCGCCCGTCGCGCGACGGGCGAAGGGGCCTTGGCTGAGGCGAACTCTTCGCGTTCGAGGGTGCCCTGCCCATTGTTGAGATGCGTAATGCGTGGGGAGAATATCTTTCCAAAGAAAATTTGTCCTGGGTCAAAGCGAGGAGCCCTGCGTCAGCCTTGAGGATGTGTGTTTGCAGGCTTGGGCGGGGGATGGACAACGCCTGCACCGCTGTCAACGATCTGGGAGACCATTCCGTTCAGGTTGACTTCCCCGAAATAAGTCGGGCCCTTGCGCCGCGCGGCGGTTTTCGGGGGGCTGGAGAGGGCCTCGGGGGAGAAACTGGAGGTGCAGCACAGGTTGTGCTGGGGCATTTCCAGTCCAGGCTTCGTTCCAAGCAGGTTTCTTTGATGGGCGGGTCGAGCATGGGGGCTCGCCTGCAGCGCGATCTGGACTGCCGGCAGCGCCGAGCTCGCAGGCTGCGAGGTCAGCGACATTTGCCAGCGTCGCCGCTCCTGCTAAGACACAAGCTGGTACCGCCTGTGGGAGTGTGAAAAGTGTGAAACATGCGCTGATGTCAGGGAGAAGTTGGTCGACGCTGATAAGAGGGGAGCCGCCGTCGAAGTTGACGACGAAGGTTATGAATGGACGCTTTGGGTGCACGGTGTTTTTCGTCATCCAGGGGACTTTTTTCCGATGCCAGACACCAGTGGGAAGATCTCGGTGAATTTGCAAACTCCTGGGGTTGTTTGTCCAGGAAGTTCCGAGCCGACTGTCACATCTCCTGGTGTCTGGGTCTGGGGCTCTCTCTTCGTTGGTGGTTCTGGCCGTCGTCGCCCTGTGTCCGATATGTCGCGTAGCGCCTGGTGTGTCTTCGTGGTCGATGGGCACGCTGGGGCGCCTCGTGAAGTCTCGGCGCCTGTTTGGCCACCGTGCCGCCCGACTGCGCAGTCTGCTGGGTTTTCCGCCTTGTTGCGGTGCGGGCATGGCGTTGCACGGCACGGCCGCTCCCCACAGTGGTGGTAACAATGTTGTTGCCCATTACCCCCAAGACCTTGATTCGTGCAAGTCCCCGCGCACATGTTTACAGTGTGCTTTTGTTGCATGGGTTGGCTTCGGCGGCGGGCGTCCCACTTCGCTCGCGAAAGTCGATGCCCACAAGTGCCCTGAGGAGCCTGGGATTGACACGGAGGAGCGGTTTCTAAGGAAATGATATGATTTGGCCGACGCGGGTGCTAAAAGAACCGTCATGCGTCATCCCAAGTTTGGTCTCTAGCTTGTTGACGAGGTGGACTAGAAAATCAACATTTCGAAGGCAGTTCCCGCTGTCGGTGTTGTCGTTCTCCCTCTTTGGCCTGGGGTGGAGCGGGTTCCTCCCCCTCCTCCTGTCGCGGGGCGGCAGCAGCACCGATGGGATGTGGCGCTGTCGAATATGTCTTCGAGGGTCGCTCGCCCTTGGGAGGCCCAGTCAGACGGGCTGTGCTTGGGTCCGAGGGGATGGGTTCTGAGGCACGGGTCCGAGTGCCAAACAGAGGAGGAGGAGGAGGAGGAGGAGGAGGAGGAGGAAGAGGAGGAGGAGTAGGAGGAGGAGGAGGAGGAGGAGGAGGAGGAGCTTCGAGGTTCGAGGGAGGAGCTGGGAGGGGATTGGCTGGATGAGGCAGGAGGAGGTTCGAGGTTCGAGGGGTTTGGGCGTTTCTGGTACCTTCTGGGCCCCTGGAGGCCTGAGGAGGAGGGAGGCGGAGTTTCTGGATGAGGCTGGCGGCTCACGAACGTGCATGGAATGACGTTTGAGGCTCGTGCCACTTGAGAATTCGAACGGCGCTGGTCCATCCAGCAGTCCTTCCCCTCACCCTCCCGTCTCCCCCGAGCGAGAAGGGAGGGGTATGGGGGACAGGGGGAGGAAAACCAGAGGGGGAATGGGGATTGTGGGATCGGGAGGTCGGGGAAGCGAAGGGGCAGGGGAGGCGAAGGTAGGGAGAGGGAGAGGCGAGGTAGAAGCGACAGGCTTAGCGCTGTACTATGCTGGATGTGGGTCAGTGTGATTCAATGTGCGTGTGGTGATGCTTGCAATCTGCTGCACGCTTAGATGAGGAAGGTGGAATTGCTTGCTACCCTCAGTGCTTGCGGATCATGCGAATGTTCTTGGCTCATTCGCGACGTTCTCAACACATACGTAAACGGCGAGACCATGCCGGCACACTTGGGATCTCTGGGCAGCTCCCGGGCCAACCCCCCCAGTGGGCCCCCCGGTACCTTCCCAAGACGGGGTCCAGGACAGGCCCCGCGGCTCGGACCATGCTGAGGCAGGTTGGCGCAGAGGTTTTGATTGCGAGCCGTGTTCCCGATGCGTCCAGAGGAAGGTCACGCTAGGCCCTGTAGAATCATGCTGAGAGGCGCCCCTGCGCGACGACAATGGCCGCGCGTCGGCCCGCGCGCGCTCGACCAAAGAAGTTCGTGCACTGTTTTTTGCACAGTTTGGTCCCACTCAGTGCAGTGAGGCAGTTTGCCAGGAAGTGGCGTCCATGAGCAGCGCTCGGACGCGCGGCCTGGTACCCTGACATGTTAACAGAGCATCAGCAGTACGCAATACCGAGGTCTCGAAAGGACACGAGGGCTCTCCACTCGGTGGGCACAGTGGCGGATATCCACCGCCTGGTTTGTTTGCCTGGCATGCAGCCTCCTGGCATGTGAACGTCGGAAAAGTGAAGCCCCCCCTTGCAATTGGAAATGATAACCGCATGCCGATGATAATAAAGGGACCCCCCCCTTCAGTGTTTAGAGTTGATTATCGTCGCCCTATACAAAATTCAAATTGGGCGGCGAGCGCTGAGGCCGAACTTCATTATCACCTCGAAACGCTATGTTGAGATAGCAACATCAAGCGATGTTGCTATCCCCGCGCGCGCCTGAACTTTTTTATCTCTGGGGTTGATTATCCATGGAAAGGGGAGCACATGAGCTACCCTACATGAGCACTTAAAAAAATCAATTTTCATAAAGCGTTTGTAAATTAAAATTGATAGATTTGGAACTTTCCATTTTTCCGTTCTTCTTCTCTTCTTATTATTCTTATTCTTCTTTTCTTCTTCTCTTCTTATTATTCTTCTATTTTCCTCTTCTTCTTTTATATTTCTATCTGTCCTCACGCTCGCCTGAACTTTTTTATCCCTGGGGTTGATTATCCATGGAACATGAAGCACATGAGCTACCCTACACGAGCACTTAAAAACAACAATTTTCATAAAGCGTTTGTACATTAAACTTGATAGATTTGGAACTTTGGATTTTTCCTTTCTTCATCCTCTTCTTATTCTCCTCTTCTTCTTCTTTCTTATGATTCTTCTACTGTATTCTTCTTCTTTTATATTTCTCTCTGTCCCCACGCTCGCCTGAACTTTTTTATCTCTGGGGTTGATTATCCATGGAAATTGAGGCACATGAGCTACCCTACACGAGCACTTACAAAAAAACAATTTTCAGACAGCGTTTGTAAATAAAATCTAATAGATTTGAAGCTCGAGATTTGTTCTTCTCTTCGTCCTTCTCCTCCTCCTATCATTTCTTTTATTTTATTATTTATTCTTTTTTATTTTTCTTTTGTGTATATATATAGCTTCCTCCATTCCAGCGAGATAAGCCATTGTTGAGGATATTTCTATGGAAACTAAACGCCAAGGATGTCTCAAAACGTGCTCGGCTTGGTCTCCTCTTGATCATCTCTTACTTCGAGATTATGCTGAGGTATGCTGGGCTACTTTTATTATCTCTCCCTGAACCCCGAACTTTATTATCCCCTAGTGTTTATTCTCACGGGCATGAGGTTATTTGTGGGCCCGTCTTCAGTCGTCCTCTCCATTATTGCATGGGGCCAGGCAGGTATCACCAAACGTGGTCTTGTTGAGTGAGCATTCCAATGACCAATACTCTGCTGATCTGTGTTGGCAGCATGTCCACACGCGTCCCTGGGCCGTGATAACCTTTTGCTTCCAACCCGGGACCCACAGAGCGCTCTCGGATAGGTAAAGATTCTGGAGTGCATCCCGAAGTCGGAAGACCGCCGGGAACTACGAACACGTCCTAAAGCGTCAAACCTCGAACCTGTAGACTTCGATCCTCGATCCCCCCCTGACGTCTTCCTCCGCTGACGTTGCCCCCGAGAGCGTTCCGAATTGTGTTGAGAGTCGTCGTCGTCGTCGTCGTCGTCGTCGTCGTGGCAACCGTTGGCTTCCACCTCCCTGCCCAGAGGTTGGACGGGGACCTTTCCAATCGGGGACCCTCCTGGCCTGGGGACGGGCAGGCGGCAGCCCGCCACTGCAGTGGGCGCGGTGGAGGCCCGCGCCGCTCTTGCTGGGGCTGGGTGCCCGAAGGGCCCCTCGGCCGCCACCGCCACAGTCACCGCTGCTCGGTGCCGCTTCTGCTGGTGGCGCCGCCGCCACGCTCGCCGCTGCTGCATGGTGGTTCCGCTGCTCAGGGCCAAGGATAGGGAGGGGGACAGGCTTAGGCGGGAATGCATCGACCCCCCATCGCCCATTGATCGCCGATCGGGGTCTGATAGCCTCGCCCCGCTCAGGAGCGTGCGAGTTTGCTATCGGGGGCCTATCTATCCCCGAATTATCGGCGATGTATCGCCGATTCCAGATTGATGTTCCTCCCCCCCGCGCCAGTCCCCCATCGTTGTCCCTCAGCCACGCTCGCCGCTGCTGCTGGTGGTTCCGCTGCCTCCGCCGCCAGTCCCCTGCCGCCGCCGTCGCTGTCGCCGCGCCGCTTCGTCCACCTGGGCGGCGAACGAGGGAGGAGGGGTGGCCGAGTGGTGGCGGGGAGTGGCGGAGGGCCGCGCCAAGCTAAACGCGAAGCCAGGCACTGGAAAATCATAGCAACCTGAAGATCCTGAAAACTCTAGCTGGCTGCGGCAAGCCTCGCCACCGTGCCAGCTCTGGATCGAGGCAGCTTCGGGATCCCTCTACCATGGATCCACCATAGGATTATATATGGCGATTCCACCATGGTTCTACCATGGCCCTGGTTTTCCCGGGTCTAAGCGGCACCGCTGGACGAGCTTTGGCTGACCGAGCTTTCCCAAAAAGGCTTGGTGACACAATGGATCTACGGGCAGGACTGGAGAGGAGTAGAATGGGGAGGTTTCCGCGGGCCCCCATGCGGTATAATCGTGATTACGCGGTGTCCCCACGGATCCCTAAGACGTTGCTGGTCCGTCTTGGGCGCGATGGTTCTACCGATCTATCCCAGAAACGCACGGTGGAACTACATTGGTAGAGGCCTCCTAGTTGGGGCCCGAGTAGGTGGAGTCGAAGGATCGCGCCGCATCGGCAATGCATCGCCGATGTGTCGGCGATGCGTTGGCGATGCACCAGCGACGCTGGCGATGCATCGGCGACGGCGGCGTGAAGCAAGTCGCGCTCTGCATCAAGCCGCATCGCCGATGCATCGGCGATGCGGCACGATCCTTCGACCCCATCTACTCCGACCCCATCTAGGAGGCCTTGGGACCATCTTAGAGCTGTTTCGGGGCGGTGCTCGGTTGGCTTGAAGTGTCCCCGGGTTGTCCTATGTGCAACCTTTGGTGCCGTATTGGAGTCGCAGTGGTTCCCTCTAGAGCCATCTTGGAGTTCACTGAAGCTTTCCTCAAGGCGTCACCTGCCGAACAGTATGGGAAGCACACCACATGATATGTTTGACCTTCTAATGGATTTGGCCTCAGTGCCTTACTGGAGATTGTGAGCACTTTCCATGGCCTTCTCGGGAGCCTCGGATTTCGTTGACGCGTCTTGGGGTGTCTTTGAGCTGAGGGAGCGGCCTAACTGATAACGCAGGGAAATTAATTTCTTAGGGGGGATTCGACAGGGGGGGTCGCCTTTGAGAAACTACGGGCTTCCCTCCAAAATGGTAACGTGCAGTACGCAATCCGGCATGGTCGAAGTGCTGCTTGCACGTTGTGGTTCTGTAGAAGTGACGTTCCCAAGTCGGTGGACAGCTAGAACAGTTGTGTCCAGCGCTGGGATAGCGGTGCGTGCTCGATTGGTAAGTTGGTGTTGTGTATGTTGTCCGCCGTGGTCTATTTGTGCCCTGTGGACGTGTTGACGGCGTACGCGCAAACGAAGCGAGTTTATGTTAATGCTGGCGTTGCCTTAATCATATCCATTGCGTGTGCTTTGCTGCGGGTTTGTCAGGCCATTCTCGACTTGAGCGAACAGGTATGGAAAGATTATTGTCAATTGTTCCTGAAGCGATATTTGCCAAGTTCTCTTGTCTGACATCAGCGTCCAGAGCCGACGCGCTGGTGACACGAGTCAATCACCTCATGTGCTCACCACTTCCCAACAAGCTCGTCTGACTGTCGAAACGATGGTGCGGTAATTAGGATGACAAGTTACGCTGACGTCTTGGCGTGAGCTCGACCGAGAGTGATGAGTGCAAGGATGATGTGGCTCACCTGCGCAGGAGAGGGATCATATTGAGGAGGGATGAAGCGGGTGGGTTTGCTGAGGGCGCAGCAGACAATATCCGCTCGTGGGGCAGAAGCAAACACCAATGACACAGGCGCAATCCCAATTGGGAACATCGCATAGTTTCGTCGAGACCAGACGCGTCCAGTGCATCGCAATTGGAAGCGTGTAGTACCGCAAACGCGCAGAGGATACCTATACGACAACCCTACGGGTGATAAGGAGGTTGGTGGGGGGCCAGCAATGGGCAACAGTGGTGACTGTTGTTCTTACGATGCCTGTGGTGCGCAGTCTAGTGAGTAGTGTGATTGTGATCGTGAGCGTGATGTGATGTGGCGATGTTGACGAAGCGCACTCGACATTGTCGTGAAGCGCTGCCCCCACGTGCGCTTCTGTGCCGGGCGATTTGCGTTTGGATTTGCATATCGATGTGCATGTCGATTTGTTTTTCGATCTGCATCTCGATTTGCATGTCGACATATCGATGTGCATGTCGATTTGTTTTTCGATTTGCATCTCGATTTGCATGTCGACTTGCATTGGACAGCTTGCCGCAGGCGCCGATTTTTTTGATACGCAACCCACGGCGCCTTATGATTTGCATTTGGATGTGCATGTCGATTTGCATTTCGATGTGCTTTTCGGTTTGCATGCAGGCTTGCATTGGATAGCTCGCCGCAGCCGCGGCGGGACACCAGCGGGACAATAGCGGGACACCGCGGGGCACCGTTTGCCGTGTGGAGAGACTTTTGGTCCTGCCGCGGCCCAGACACAGGAGGATTTCGAGACACCAGCGGGACACCGGCGGGACACCGTGGGCCACCGGCCGCCGGAGGAGAAACATTTGGTCCTGCCGCGGCCCAGACACAGGAGGATTTCGAGACACCAGCGGGACACCGGCGGGGCACCGTGGGCCACCTGCCGCCGGAGGAGAAACATTTGGCCCGGCCGCGGCCCAGACACTGGAGGAGTTCCTCTCGCCCGCCCACGCAGCTTCGCCTCGCCCGCACGCACGCACGGCACGCACGACACGAACCCGCCGAAATCGATTTCCCGGTAGGGGGGGACTCCGTTTCACGTCGGACACACCCCCCAACCTCCGATAATGGCCTAGCACATCATGGAAGGACACGTTGCGCAAACATATAATAGCATAATATGCTTCAGCATATCATGCATAACATGCAACACCATATAGCACCATACATAAGACCTGAGAGGGAGGAAGATGACTCAATTGACGGCGTCGACGAATTTGGTCGGGGTGGGTTCCTCGGGCAGGGGGTGCGACCCGAAAACTCCGCGGGGCTCGGCGGATGTTTACACGTATGCATGTGCATGGCGTCCTCTTAGAGTCTCAGAGGCGGTGTTGCGGTGTTTTGGGGGCCTCTTGGGAGGCTTTCGGGGAGTCTTTGGGCTTGATTTGGGCCTGTAAGGGAGCCCTCCTGGGGCGTCGGTTCTTGTTGCACCTCTTGTTCTTCTGTATGCCGATTGTGGAGCCCCTGTTGCACCTCTTGTTCTCTTGTTGCATTTTCTGTTCTCTTGTTGCACCTCTTGTTCTCTTGTTCTTGTGGAGCCCTCCTGGGGCGGAGTGCTGGGTATGTCGATTCTTGTTCCACCTCTTGGTACTTTCTTGGGCCGTCTTGAGGCCTCTTGGGCCGTTTTGACGGCTTCGTGGGCCGTCTCTGGGCGATCTTGGGCCGTCTGGGGGCGATGGGGCCTTTTCGGCCGTCACCTGAAATGGAGCCCAACAGCCCCGATCTTCGCGAGCCCGCGTGGAGGAGCAGGCGGAGCAGGAGGAGGAGGAGGAGCCAGAGGAGGAGGTCCGCTGAGGCCAGCGAGAAACTCGCGCCAAAGACCACCCCGATTGCCATGGTGATCAAGCTGCTGAAGGATCTTACCGCGAAGGCGCTCGCCCAGGGGGCGCTCTCTCCATCGGCGTCGCCGTCGCCCCTCTGTTCCTTCGGTAAGAAATCATGGGAGCTTTGTATGTCATCGAAGTTGCGTCTTTAGAGTAAGCGGCCGATGTAGCGTCGATTAGCGTCGACAGTGTGGGGCAGTCCACGAATGCAGGCGTCACTCTTCTGGAGGCGCCTCGGCCCAGCGTCACTCGAAAGCAGCGTCCTCCTGTTCCTCCCCTCCTGCTGCTGCCTCCTGCCTCAGTCCCCTCCCTCCATCTCCGTCGTAGCTCCTCCGAGAAGCCTCCTCGTTCGGAGATCGCCTCTGCCCATGCTGCCCGCCGTCCTCCTCACAGGGCTGCCCAGGGCCCCCGCCTGCTGCCAGATCAAGGCTCCCTCCGTCTCCCCCTCCTCGTTCCCCATCCTCTGCGTCCTCCCCTGCATCCTTCCACCCCCACCTCCTCGCCGCCCTCTCTTCCTTCTCCTCACCCCTCCCTTTCCTGGTTTTCCACTCCCTCTTTGTGTCCCACTCCCCCCCCCCCTCCCCCTCATCTCCCTCTCCGTGCTCCTTCCTATCCTGTCCATCCCCCTTCTCTCCCCATCAGGCTCCTGCTCCTCCCCCCTCGTCGACATCTTGCGACTGTGCAGTGGTGCCGAGCGGCAGCGGAGGCAGCCGCCGGAGTCGATGCAGGATGCAGCCTCCCGTGCTGTGGGCTCGAGACCGACGGGAGAGGGACGGACAGAGGTGGGAAGTCCACAGACAAGCGGGAGGACAGATGGTGATGGTGCGTTTACGCTTCGGGTGCGTGCGCCCAGTGGCCTGCCGAAGACAAGGGTGATGGTGCTGACGATGGTGATTGAAATGGTGTTGCATGTGACGCTGAGGAGTATGATGGTGTCGCTGCTGATGATGCGGCTCCAGCTGCTGCTGCTGATGTTGATGATGACGATAGCGACGACGACGACGGCGTTACTGATGCTTGTGCAGATGCTGATGAGGGTGATGCTGATGCGGCTGATGCTGATGATGATGATGATATTGCTGATGATGATGCTGATGCTGATTATGATGATGATGTTGCTCATGTTGGTGATGTTGATGCTGATGCTGATGCTGATGATAATGATGGTGATGATACTACCCATCGGTCGTTGAAAGAAGGTATTTTTGGATTCCCAGATTCCAATATACTTTCAGCGCCTTCCTACTTCAAGAGTCGAGTGGTGTTCCCTCTTCCTTCCTCTTCAGGAGGCGGGCGGAAACCCAATCTATTTCCAACGCCGTCCTACTTTATGTTTCTACCTACTTCTTCCGACCGATGGGTACTGATGGGTATGCTGTTGCTGATAATTGTGATGGTGATGGTGATGGTGATGGTGACGCTGATGATGATGCTGGTGATGGTGATCATGCCGATGATGCTGATGATGCTGATGATGCTGCTGCTGATGATGATGATGATGCTGAGGTTGATGCAACTGATGCTGATACTGCTGATGGTGATGCTGATGCTGTTGCTGCCGATTATGATGATGATGCTGATGATGGTGATGCGGCTGCTGATGGTGGTGCTGCGGATGATGGTGATGATGATGATGATGATGATGATGATGATGATGATGATGATGATGATGATGATGATGATGATGTTGATGATGATGATGCTGATGATGCTGATGATGATGATGATGATGATGTTGCTGCCGCTGAGGATGATGATGATGACGATGACGATGCTGATGCTAATGATGCTGATGCTGATGATGGTGATGATGCGGAGGATGATGCTGGTGAGGTTGATGCTGGTGATGACGATGATGTTGATGCTGATGATGCTGATGACGTCGACGATGATCATGGAAGTGGTGGTGATGATAAGGTTGCCGTTGCTGATGAGGATGATTATGCTGATTATGCTAATGACGATGCTGCTGATGATGCTGCTGATGATGAATGTGCTGCTGATGATGATGATTATGATGATGCCGACGATGACGATGCTGAGGATGAGGAGGAGGAGGAGGAGGAGACGGCGGAGGAGGAGTAAGAATAAGAAGTTGCGGAGAAAGAGGAAGCGTAGAGGAAGAGGCGGTTGAGGAGGATGAGGATGATGATGAGGAGGAGGAGAGGGAAAAGGGGGAGGAGAGAGGGAGGGGGAGGGGGACGAAGCAGGGGAGTAGGATGTTGAGGAGGAGAAGGGCGGCAGGATGAGGAGAAGAAGAACGAGGGCGGCAGGAGGAGGAGGAGGAGGAGGAGGAGAAGGATGCGGAACAAGATGATGCGGATGAGGGGGATGCGGAGGAGGAGGGGGAGGAGGAGGAGGAGGATGAGGAGAAGGAAGAGGCGGAGGTGGAGGCGGAGGCGGAGGAGGAGGGACGAGGAGGATGAGGAGGTGGAGGAGGATGAGGAGAAGGAAGAGGCGGAGGTGGAGGCGGAGGCGGAGGAGGAGGGACGAGGAGGATGAGGAGGTGGAGGAGGAGGTGGAGGAGGCTTCTTCCTCCACCCAGCAGAGGTCTGGCCACAGAGGCCATATTAAAAGGGACCCAAACCAGCGGGGAGAAACTGGAGCCTCGCCACTCTGCACAGCTGCCCCAAGAGAGGCCACTGCGCAATAATCCGATCCTTATTCCCGTACTTGGGGTGCCTGCTCTGTAGAACTCGGCGCAGCTTGTGCTGTGCTGCCTCATTACGCTTCCACATGGGAACCCAACAACAGGGGCAGACTTTGCCGAGGTCCAATGGTTTCGTGGCAGCCTACTGGCAGCACCCCTTACAAAACAACAGCGTGTCACCCACCTCCTGCAGCTGTCTTGGCTGCAATTTGGCGAAAAAGGAATTGGCTCGCCCGCCCGCGCGTTCGCCGGCCGGCTGGCTGTCTTCCCTCCTAGTATCTCATTGTAGTTACAGCTTAACGGCACATAAATACACTTCTCGCCATGGCAACAACACGTACGTCTCCAATTCACCACTTGAGCCGGAGCAAGATATTGTTACAATAAGAACAAGAAGTATACCAACACACTGAGCAGTAATACGTGTTGCCGATCAATTGGGCTACGAAAGCCCCCCTCTTCACGGACCATCATATAAGGAACAGCGTTCCAACCTTCTAGTGCTGATGTCTGGTGAGAAGAAGAATCACGCCACGGCTTGAGTGTGAACGCTCCTGGAGCAGATCCAGCCGACTATGTCGGAGAAGCGAGTCCACGTCTCCACTCCAACATCAGCTGGAGCATGTCCTTCGATGACGAGCCCCGCCCGGACACTCTGAAGGACAAGGGTAACAAGGAGCTCACTTGGTACTAGGGCGGTGAATGAGATTTTGTCCCGATCGCTGATCAACCCGAAGTCCCCGTCGACCTCTCGGATTGTGAACGCGACGTGGAGTCGATCTCGTCGAAGGGGAACTTCTCTCGCAGATCGACGCCGGGACTCGTCGCCTACCGCGAAGCTCACCAGCCGCATGAGGGAAGAGACGAGGCCTATGGAATTGGATCCCCGGTCCAGTTGCGCGACTGTCGGCCTCCTGCGCAGGTGCCCCCGCGCACGTGGCGACGCAGCCGCGATTCCATCCGATGTCTCAGTTGAGCCGGGTTTAACCCGTGGGTGGCCCTGCCAGGGCAGCGAGCAAGCAAAGACGCGAAACGGTTAGTCTTTCCGTGGCACTTACCCGACCACCCTTCGGGCGAGAAGGCGTTTGTGTGTGTGGTGGTGGGGGGGAGGGGGGGGGAACCGACGTCTGACTCAATCGATCTCACTATCGATCTCACTCATCGCGGCACCGCGGGACAATTGCCGATCTCACCATCGATCTCACTATCGATTTCACTCAACGGGACACCGCGGGCCACCGCGGGACTCCCGTGGGGCACCTTTCGATTTCACTATCGGTCGCACGATCGATCTCATTCAACGGGGGGCCATAGAACACCACGGGGCACTTTGGGACACCACATCGATCTCACGATCGATCACACTATCGATTTCAATATCGATCTTACTCAACGGGACACCGCAGTGCCGCAGGACACCGCGGGGCACGTGTCGATCTCACGATCGATTTCACTATCGATTTCACTTTTGGGGCACCACGGGACACCTCGGGGCACCGCGTCGGTCCCGCGATCGATCTCGCGAGCGGTCCCACGATCGATCTCATTTAACGGGGCACCACGGGGCACCAGTCGACCTCGCTAACGACTTCATTATCGATTTCACTTGTTGGGACGCCACGGGACATCTCGGGGCACCGCGTCGATTTCAGTATCGATTTCAATATCGGTCACACTATCGGCCCCACTATCGATCCCACGATCGATCTCACTAAGCGGGGCGCCGCGGGACGCCTGTCGATCTCACGACCAATATCATTACATATTACGATCGATCTCCTCATTTTTTGGACGCCGCGGGATACGGGGCACCACGGGGCCGCCGCCGGACGGGCGGCCTCTGCAATTTAAACTTCGCACGTCGGGCTTGCGCCGCCACGAATGCGCACATCTGCGCAGGTTTACGCGCGAACGAATTGCGAGATGCCTAGGAACAGAAGAGGTTTGAGATCACGGAGGCCAGGGGGAGAGACCTAGCTCAGATGCGCGAGCAATTATGACACTCGGAGAGGCAACAACAATCAGTCGCTACTCTTGAATTGGAGCGAAGCCGGGAGGCAATGGCGAGTGCCGCGCGGTTCCTCGAGGAGCGCCAGCAGGCGGTGGCGGCCGAGCAGGCTTCTACAGCGACGGCGGAGATGAGGGAGCTCGCCAACAGGCTGGAGGTAACAGTCGCATACGAGCGCAATGCGCAACTTCAGGGAAAAAAACACCGCGCTGAAGAAACGAGGCGCGCTGCCCGGTGGGCCGGCGAAACTCGGCGCGCGACTATGTCGCAAGCGGCCCGGGAGCGGATCGGAACGCGCGGTTAGCCGCGGAGGCAGCCGCTGCCGTAAAGCAGGCCGAAGTCGATCGCGTCGTTGCAAAGGAGAGCCATGCTCGTTCCGCGGCCGAATT